AGTAGTGAATGCGTAAAAACTTATAAATACACTTGTTTGGAATGATCTGGAATGAGCCGATGTATTTTTTCTGCGAATCAGCGGCGTGAGCGGCGCAAGTGTCGAGTGCGAGAGAGCGCGCTGAGCGCCTCAGTATGGAGAGACACGCGATATGAGTAACAGGTCTCGGGAGGTTGTTCCAAGTTTACGGAGCTAATTAAATCTGTATTTGATCGCACAGAGAGTCTCTTCATTTACCCTACTATTCCCCGTTCCTTACACTTTTAAAATCTGGCGACCGTGACAGGACGCGGGAGGGAGTAATTGTTGAAAAGCTTCTGCGGCGTTCGAGATAACCTCAAAGATGGACGTCGCGAAAAAGCAAAGAACGGTGCAACGCACTTTATTCACAAAGTGCCTCAACGTTTTTGTCGCGAAATGCAACAACGCTACTGTTACAGCCGATGACAGGCATGTCGCTCTACAGATGCTCGAGACCAGAGTACAAGAGCTTGAAAACGCAAATGCAAAATACATTGAATTGTTATCGAACGAAGCGGTTGATGACGACGTTCTCGTGAAGGAGATAGAGTCTCACGATGAATACCAAAAGAAGTTTTTGGAAGCGAGAGTGAAATATCTGAGTGGTGTTAGTGCAACACGTACGGGAAATAGCGAATTTGGTGCTAATCAACAAGTATATCGCAGTGACAAGCCGTACAAGCGTCCTACACTCGAGGTGCCAAAATACTCCGGAGGAGTCGATAAGTGGCTACAGTTTTGGTCACATTTTCGCAAATACCACGAGGATCCCGTGCTTTCCAAGGAAGACAAGCTGGAATATCTGAAAGGCATGATGGCAGTCGATTCCAAGGCATTTGTGATCGTACACGGTTTTCCGACCACGGCAGAGAATTACGATTCAGCTTTCGAGAGCCTAAAAGATCGTTATGGACGAGACGACTTACTAATTGAGTATTACACCAGGGAATTGTTAACCTTGGCCATACAAAATGCCACTAAGAAAAAAGAAGAGCAATCGGATATTGCATCGATTTACGACCGACTTTCAGCTCACATTCGCGCTCTGGACACGCTGGGTGTCAAAACGGACAATTGTGCGACGATGCTCTACCCGCTTGTGGAGTCGTCTCTCCCGGAAGAAATTCTGCGAACGTGGCAACGCTCGCCTTTGAGTTCGTCAACAAACAACGGAAACCAAGGACAAGGGGGAGCTCCGGTTTCAGACCGTTTGACGAAGTTATTAGAATTTCTGAAGACCGAGGTGACGAACGAGGAGAGAATCAACATGGCGGTCACTCATTTCGCTGTAGCGTCGGATAAGAAGACGGAGAAGCCGAAAGAAGGTAAACAAAAGGAAAACAAGGGGACTTCGTCGAAGGAGCCAGCAACTGCGAGCGCACTCTTGTCGAGCGAACACAAAGGTACGAAATGTGTATTCTGCGGCGAAAGTCACGGTAGCGCGAATTGCGAGGAAGCGAAAAAGATGTCGTTTGAAGGTCGGAAAAAGATAATGAAAGATAAAAATTGTTGTTTTAAATGTCTTATCACCGATCGAAAAATTGCAAGGTTAAAATAATTTGCGGTTGGTGCGGAAATCGTCATCACATTCTCGTTTGTTGGGAGTTGAATAAAGATAAAGAACCGAGTGATCCGAGCGAGCGAAAGAACGATGCTACCGTGAAAAGCTCGCGACCGGAGCAAACTCTCGCCAGCTTTTGCAGTGCGCCTGACGTCTATTTACAAACATTGCGCGTCGTGATATATTCTGATACGAGGGAGAAGGTTGCACGCGTAGTTGTCGACCAAGGCTCACAGAGGTCGTACATTCGCTCTGACGCGGCAAAGTTTTTGGGATATCAACCCGTTGGAAAGCGCGAAGTGACGCATGCTTTGTTCGGAGGGGTGAAATCCGATACACAAGTGCATAACCTTTATTCGGTTCGTATGAGAAGCCTGGACGATACATACGCGTGCAATTTTCAAGTAATGGACGAGAAAACTATCTGCGCGGATATACCACGTATCAAGCGAGTTGATTGGCTTGATGATTTGAAAAAACACAATATTTCTCTCTCTGACTTGGAAGCTGACACCACTTATAGCGATAATTCGATCGATGTTTTAATAGGTGCTGATATTGCAGGAAAACTTTTTACCGGCAAAAAATATGATTTGGAAAATGGTATAACTGCTTTCGAGTCACGCTTAGGTTGAATGATTATGGGCAGAGCGCCAAGTAGTAAGAGAGAAGATTGTACTTTGAACATTGTATCCATGTTTGTCAACGAAGCGAAAGTATCAAACTTGTGGGAGTTAGACCTTCTTGGGATAAGAGATCCAATAGAAAAAAGCAACGAACTTGTGAGAGAACAAACTATCAGAGAAAATTTTATGAATACTGTTTCTTACTAAGACGAGCGTTATAGTGTTGATTTGCCGTGGGATGATGACCATCCTCCAGTCTCGAGTAATTTTGAGTTATGTAAGAGTAGGCTAGAAAGCACGGTAAAGAAACTCCAAAAGATCAATTTATATGATGAATACAATAATGTTTTGATAGAATGGCTCGATGAAGGTATCATTGAAGTTGTACCCGAAAAGGAGCTTGATTTTTTCTCTCACTGTTTGCCTCATCGTCCGGTAGTAAAAACAGACAGCACTACTCCAGTTCGCCCCGTGTTTGACGCGTCCTCTAGTGAAAAGGGTTACCCTCCTCTCAATAAATGCTTAGAAAAGGGACCGAATCTGATTGAGTTGATTCCGGCGACACTGCTCAGGTTTCGCGAACATGAGATTGGAGTAATCGCGGATATTCGCAAGGCTTTCTTACAAATAGAAATCAGTCCGAAAGATCGAGACTACCTACGTTTTCTGTGGTTCTTAGATGGAAAACTGACAGTTTTACGCCACAAGCGCGTAGTTTTCGGTCTGACCTGTAGTCCATTTTTGTTAGGAGCAGTCTTGGAGTATCACCTTTTGCATACGATTCCAAAGTGTTTTCTCGATTTATGGTCGAGTAAAAATATTGAAAAATTGACGCGATCGTTTTACGTCGATAACTATATCACGAGCGTTCAAACAGCCGAAGAATTAATCTCTTTCATCACGGAAGCTAAAGAAATGATGAGAAAAGGCAGTTTCGAATTGAGAGGGTGGGAGTATACGGGCGACGGCCAAGAGAAAGAAATGACTCCAGTACTCGGTATTTCGTTTAATAAATTACGCGATACTTTGTCAATCAATCCCATTTTACTTGGTGAATATAACAAGGAGATAACAAAAAGAAAAATTCTTTCAGCAACGCATAAAGTCTTTGATCCAATCGGATTTACCGCTCCCGTAACCTTAATACCGAAGTTAATTTTGAGAAAATTGTGTGAGTTGAATGTCGATTGGGATGTTCAAGTTGATAACAACTCAGAAAAAGAGTTTTTATTGTGGTATGAGCAATTGACGCATTTGAGCGAGATAGAAATCCCAAGGAAACTCGGATCAGGCACGTTATCCCTGCACACTTTTGCAGACGCAAGTCAGACGGCGTACGCCACAGTTATATCTTTGCGCGTCGAGAACGAGACTCACGTAGAGCTTAGGCTACTTGCCGCGAAAGCGCGAGTCGCTCCGAAGAAAACAACGATACCGCGATTGGAGCTCTTGGTCACATCGATTGCTAGCCGTCAGACCGCCGAGATAGTGAACGCTTTGCACTATGGGAACGTACCGATCTACTGCTGGTCGGACTCGACGACTGTCTTAGCGTGGCTACAGAGAGATAGCCAATGGGGCACATTCGTTTAGAATCGCGTTCAGGAAATACGGCAACTATCAGCGTCTTGGCAGTGGCAGTATGTGCCCGGTACGGAAAATCCAGCTGACCTTCCGTTACGCGGATGTCAGGCTACACAGCTGCTCGAATCGCGTTGGTGGGAGGGGCCGCCTTGGTTACGCGAGTCCTCGAAAACTTGGCCTAATGCAATAGACACGACAAACGAAGAGGAGGTAAACAGTGAAATGTAGAAATCAGCTCAAATATCGATGTTATGTGGAGAAGTTGATTTCAGTATCATAAACAAATTTTCGTCGTACGTGAAGTTAATAAAATTTTATACGATAATGCTTAGATTCAAGAATTTTCTCATAAGTAAAAAAGCGGCACAAAACAAATATATATCGCCCAGAGAAATACGTAGTGTAGAATGTAAATTATTAACTTGCATACAAAAAACAATGTTTTTACCCAAAAAAGATCCGAAGCTAAAAGTTTTGCAAACTTTTGTACACACTGATGGTCTATTACGATTGAAGACAAAAATTAGCGCACGAAATGATAAATTTCCCTTTTTATATCCAGTTCTATTAGACAATAATCACAAAATTGTAGAGCTAATTATATTAGAAGAACATGAAAGTATGAACCACGCAGGTGTACAGACTGTGATGTGTCGATTAAGAGAGAGATTTTGGATTCTAGCCATGCGAAAGACAGTGAGAAAGGTAATTGCGACTTGCATTATTTGTAAACGTTTTTCGGTAAAGCTAATGCAAGCAGATCCACCTCCTTTGCCACTCAATCGCGTAAGAGATTGTGCTGTTTTTGAAGTAATCGGAGTCGATTTAGCAGGACCTGTATTCCTTCGTGGGCAGCAAAAGGGCTGGATCTGTCTCTTCACATGTGCCGTATACCGTGCGGTACATCTAGAATTAGTTACGTCTCTATCGACAATGACGTTTTTGATGGCGTTGCGTCGCTTCATCGATCGTCGTGGACGTCCGGTCGATATTTATTGTGATAACGGAACGAACTTTGTTGGAGCGGATTCTGCGTTATCAAATCTTAATTGGAAAGTCATAGAGACGTATAGCTCAGCACAGAGAATAACGTGGCACTTTAATCCACCCTCGGCACCATGGTGGGGAGGCTGGTGGGAAAAATTAGTTGGAATGGTAAAGTCATCTTGCGCAAAGTGCTTGGAAAGAGTTGTCTCACATATGAAGAAATGTGTACAGTTCTCTGCGACTGCGAAAATACAATAAATTCGCGACCCTTGACCCATGTTTCCGAAGACGCGAACGATTTGATACCATTAACTCCATCAATGTTTCTGCGCGAAAACAAAGGCTTCGAAAATCCTGACTTAGATATTATCAATAAAGTAAATTTGACTGCTAGCTATAGAAAAAAGCAAGAAATAATAGAACACTTGCGCCAACGTTTTCGCACGGAATATTTGAGTCGGCTGATACTAAAAAGTAATAGTGTAAAAGAGTCTCGCTCAATAAAAGTCGGCGAGGTTGTTCTGATCGGCGATGACAACAAAAAACGTATTGATTGGCCTTTAGCAAAAATTGAGAAATTGATTCAAGGTCGCGACGGCGTAGCTAGAGTAGCAGTATTGAAAACCAAAGACGGAATTTTAAAGCGTCCATTGCAGCGTATATACCCTTTGGAAATTGGTTGCGAGGATAGAAAAGAAATAGAGTTAATGTGTGGTAAAGAGCAATCGATGAACGACAAAACAGCTGCGGAGGAAAATAAGTTTGAACCTAGTCCAAATGTAGTAAAAACCAGGAGTGGACGTGTGGTTAAGAAACCTAATTATTATCAATTTTTGGTGTCATTGAGTCAAGGACTCAAGGTGGGAGGATGTTTGGAATGATCTGGAATGAGCCGATGTATTTTTTCTGCGAATCAGCGGCGTGAGCGGCGCAAGTGTCGAGTGCGAGAGAGCGCGCTGAGCGCCTCAGTATGGAGAGACACGCGATATGAGTAACAGGTCTCGGGAGGTTGTTCCAAGTTTACGGAGCTAATTAAATCTGTATTTGATCGCACAGAGAGTCTCTTCATTTACCCTACTATTCCCCGTTCCTTACACTTTTAAAAACACTCTTTTATAGCATAGATTATCAGTTGTGATTCAGAATTTAGAGTGAGATGGATGTAGAGGAACAGTCTCTCATGCTTCCTGTGATAAATTTTGACGCGTTGACAGACAAAAGTGAAAAGAAAAGTAAAAGACATGGGGATCTATTGCCCGACAGCATACGTGCAGTATGTTGTGGTGCATCTAGTTGTGGTAAGACGAATGCGCTCTTAGCTCTTTTAACCCATCCTAATGGTGTAAAGTTTGAAAATATTTACATATATTCTAAGTCGCTTAATCAACCAAAATACAAATTTCTTGAGCAACTTCTTGAACCCATCAAAGGTGTTGACTACTTACCTTTTAGCGAGCATGATCTCGTTGTATCACCATACGAAGCACGTCCAAATTCTATTATGATTTTTGATGACATTGCTTGTGAGAAACAAGATAATGTGAAAGCTTTTTATTGTATGGGAAGACATAGAAATGTTGATTGCTTTTACTTATGTCAATCATATGCTCAAGTATCCAAACACTTAGTGAGAGATAATGTGAATTTTTTAATAATTTTCCGCCAAGATGATATGAATTTAAAACATATCTATAATGATCATGTGATATGTCATAGCAATGTTTTAAAGAAATTTGTTCTTCGTGTTGGAAAGAAGATTACAGCTTTCTTGTAATTGACAAGGATCGAAAAATAGATGCTGGCAGATTCAGAAAAGGTTTTGATAAGTTCATTATAAATGCGAATCACTCAACATAAAACCGACAGTAGACAACATTTGCAAATAGACAACATGACTGAGTTAGGTTAACAGATTGGTATTCTTCGTCAAGTGGAAAAAGCTCGCGAAGCCATAAAACATAAATATAATTTGTTGAAGTCTGACAAATTAGTAACTGAAAAATTTGTCAAAGAGACTTTCAAGCCTGTGATTGAACCACTTGAAAAGTTGGTTGATGAAACAACACTTAGTCAGCAGAGAAAAACCAAACGTAAAAAATTATTGCAACCTAAAAAAGAAGAAAAAGATAGCTATGACATACGAGAATTATCTAAAAAAGAGGAAAAACCATTAGAAAAATTATATGATAGTGGATTGGAAGAAGCATTGAATGCTAATGAACAATTGAAAAATAATGATGTTGATGTATTTCATACTCCTGAAAGTGATCCACTTAATAAGTATTTATCAATATTGCGGAAAAATTAAGTAGCAACATTAGATACTATCTGTGGAGTACGTCAAAATAAAGATGGTACTCTTAAGATTGGTGATAGCTCAGTGAATTTTGAAAATAATAAAATTATTATAGGTAAAGATACTTATGAAAAAAGCTCTGGATTGATTGAACTGTTATTCAAAAAAAAACCTGATAGCTCCATTGTAACTCAAGACGATTTAGGTACCTACGGTCGTATTATAAATAAAACGAATGCATATAAAAAGCATTACAAACCTGACGAGGAAATACGCTATCAATCAAGTGAAAAATTTCGAGATATCATATCTTAGTTGATCAGAGTTACACCTTATAATTCACCAAGTGGCAGAGGGTTTTCTTTGAAGTCATCTTATAAAATTGCACGGCCTAATAATCTTACTGATTATATATATTGGAATAATCCCAATGAGCTTGTAGAACGATGAGGATACGGTGGCCAACCGTATCCGAACAACACGCTGCTAATAAGCTGCTTCGCTGCTTGCCGCACCGCCTCGATTACTGTTGCTGTTGTTGCTGTCGCTGCTACTGTTGTTGTCGCTATTGCTGCTGCTGCTATTGCTGCTGCTATCGCTGCTGCTGCTATTGCTGCTGCTAGCACACCCACGCACTCAAGTTCGCAATGTTCAGCCTCGCACTATCACCAGGAAAACGTAACCGGCTCGGGAGAAAACAGGGTTAGCTACGATGCAGGCCGACTGAGTAACACAGTCATACTGCCTGTTGAACGCTCCCCTCCCGGTCATTGCCCCTACGCGCCCTCTCTCTCTCGCGAACCGATCGCGGCTTTTCTCGATCAGCCGCTCATTAACCTCGCGCGAGTCGAACGATTTACGCTAATTGTTGCAGCCCCCTCCTAGCTTCGGACTACCGGACCGAACTACTTCACCGACTCGCGACCCCAAGGACAGGATTGGGAAAGGGGAGAAACTAACACAATCCATCCTTATTTACATTATGCTTTATTTGCCCATCCCGGGCCACCACTCCCCTGCATCACCTGCCGGAGCCCCCTGGCGCCTTATGCCTGGGATAGCGCCAGTGCTCCGACTTGTTGGGGCACTTCGATGTCGTGGTGATCCCGGGATGGCCGCAGATATAACAGCCCTTCTTCGGCCGCCCACTGGGGCCAGGCTCTGCTCCATGGCACTGGCTCCCTGCTGGTGGATGGGGCGGCTGGACTGGGGCTGCCGGGGCGGCGATGAATGTAACGCCGCCCACCGTGGCGGATGTGCGCCCTCCTTGGGTGCGCACCACCACGGTAGGGTCGGAAACCGACCCGTCCACGCGGACCGTGAACTCCTGTCCGGCGCCGGGGGCCCCCGAGACTCTCTTGGCTTGAGTCTGCGTCGGGGGCCTGGCCGGAGTCCTGGCCGCGGCCCTATCCGTTGGTGCCGTCGGTGGTAAAACCGCCGGCGGGCCCGCGGCCGCTGGGGACTCCGGTCCCCGGTCTACGCGCAGCAGGGCCTCTCCATATGCGCTCTGCCGCCGGACCACAGGAGCCCACTCCCCCAGCATCTCTTGGGCGCCGCGGAAGTTGAGGAACTCCCCCAGGTGTGCGTGCACCCGGCGCTGAAGTTCCCCGACGAACTCCCACGCGTTTTCTAATTCCTGGAGGCCCAACCTCACGTGCCTCCAGGAATTTTCAAGCCCAACCTGCTGGGGGACACGGGGGTGGTTGCAGACCCACTGCCCCTGGCCACAGGCCTCTTTCGGCCTGGGGCACTGTGTTGAGCCGTCAGCCGTCGTCGGCTGGTTCGGCTCTGGGGTCTGCACCCCCTGGTCCATCGTGGACTTAGACCGACGGCCCTCTTCGGACGGGCCGTCGGTCTAGGTGGACGCTTCTCGGGTCTCAGGCCTCCTGGTCTGAGCCCGCATACCTTCCCGGAGGAAGTCGTCCACCCGCTGGCGCGAGCGGCCCTCTCTGGCGGCCACCTCGACCTGGGCCCGGACAAATCTTCTGATATCTCCGATCAGCCGATCGGCGTCCGGATCCAGCCTTAGATCGAGCAACATCTGGGTGGCCGTCTCGAAGGCCTCCTCACTCACTACCAGCATCCTCTCCATCTGAAAAAGAAGAAGAGGGGAGTTAAGGGATGTCTCAGGTTTAGCCCTTAACCTAACCGTCGCTGCGTCACGCTCGACGCTATTGTTTGCGAGGACGTCCCGGTCCCCTGCGCTTTCCTCGCGAATATGGCCCATTTGCGGGGTAAATTGGCGGGACCACCTTTCGCACGTGCTGAGTGGTTCTACGGGGCTTGCCTCTTCCCCTTGCCGCATTGCCATCCAGGTCATCTCCACCTGGTTCCTGAGATTCGCACGCAGGGTTCTTGCGCGGCCTACCACGGCCGCGCTTAGCCGGCGCCTCGGTCAGTATCTTTGGAGCCGCCACGGATTCCTCACACTCGTTCGCGGGGGCTGCATTCGCGACGCGCTCGCATATCGGATCCTCGCTGGATTCCTCAACCTTCGCTGGCGGGTCGCCTACGCCCTCCTCTTCCTCCAATGGTGTTAAGTCCCCTCTTCCTGGCTCCTCGTCGTCCTGATCCGAGAATGGGCCGAAATAGGGCTTGAGATCCTTGGCGTGGATCAGCTCGGGCAACTCTTCCTGCTGGTTACCGAGGCGGTAGGTATTAGTCCCACATACCTCCTGAATTACATATGGACCAGCATACTTCGGCGCCAACTTCGCCGAAACGCCCTGAGCTGCGGAAGACAAGATGCGGTTCCGCTTCCACACCCAGTCCCCAACCCTAAAATCGGCCTGACGTCTCCTCCGATTGTAGTAGACCGCCTGACGGTCCGCCTCCTCCCTGGACTTAGAGCCAGCGTGTTCCCATAAATTGGGTAACTGGCGCATGTGCTCGCCCCATTCGGTCAGTTCTTGGCCCTCGGAAGCTTCCCGAGCCAACTCATCCTGGGCTCTCCTAAAGGTCGAGGGGGGAGTGGGCTGTCTACCGAAGACCAGCATAGCCGGGCTATAGCCTGTCGCGCTATGAGTTGCCGAGTTCAACGCGAAGTTGAACTCTGGCAGGTGCTCATCCCAGCTCTTAAGGTCTCGCTCCACGTACGACATGAGCATGGCCTTGAGGGTTTTGTTCACTCGCTCTGTAGGGTTTGCCTGTGGGTGGTAAACTGGAGTAAGGGCGCGCCGGATGCCGTTCCTCAGCAAGTAGGCATCGACCTCCTGATTTTTAAATTCGGTCCCGTTGTCCGAAAGAAATATCTCGGGCGCGCCGAACCTGGTTACCACTCTCTCGTGCAATTCCCGTACGATGGTCCTTCCATTGGCCTTACGTACGGGTACACACTCCACCCATCGAGTGAACAGGTCTAAGAAGACCAAAATATACTCGAACCCTCTCGAGCTCTTTGGGAAAGGGCCAGTAATGTCACTGGCCACCACCTGCCAGGGTCGCGAGACCTCTCGACGATCCATCAGCCCGCAAGGCGGCCTATGTTCCGCCTTGCACTGCTGCTATACCGGGCAACTCCTCACGTACTCTCTGACCTGCTCGTACATCTTTGGCCAGAAGTACAGGTGCCTAGCCCGGGAGAAC